GGTGAATTTCCTTTTTTGAAGTAACAGTCTCCTTCATTGTGATTATCCTTTTTGCATGTATTGCACCACTTGTTTGTTCTTTGATGTTGATTCGATCTCTGGCCAAACTTTGCTCCTTTGATTCTTGCATAAAACGCTCATTCGATTGGTTTATCATCTGGTAGGTACTTTGCTTCATGTGAAATCAATGATCCAACAAGATCTTTCACAATAATCTTCTTTAGATCTTTGGTTTCTTGCATTAAAGCTGCTAACCCGGCATAACTCTTTGGCATCGAGTTTAGTATCTTCCGGATTACTTGATGATTTGTCTTCTCTTCTCCTAGTAAACTCATCTGGTTCACCACCTCTTGTACTTTATATGTGTCATCTCGGATCTTTTCTTCTTCCTTCATCTTCAGATCTCGAACTCCTTGTTCAAACAATCCAGCCTTACAAGTTTCGCTTGGTCGTTACCTTGATAGGTTTCTTGTAGCCTTTGCCAAATTTCCTTAGATGTAGTTGCAGAAACTACTTTCATTAAAACCAAATCTGTCACAGCCATCTGTAACAATTGTAGAGCTTTCATATCTTGCATCTCTTTTTCTTTCCATTCTTTTATTAATTTTCCTTTTTCTTCAGGTTTTTCTTTTGGCTTTGGTGCAAGTCTTTCCTCCACAACTTCCCAAAACTCTTGAATCCTTAAAGTAGTTTTTATCCTTGTAGCCCCAAAGCTCATAGTTTTGCCCATCAAACACTGGAATAGTTACTGTTTGCAAGATTTTAGTCATCTTTTCGCTTCTGCCCAGACTTCGCATGAACCCGGGTTTTGCACAGAACGATTTTTCTTGAACTCGGATTTTGCACAGAGACAATCTTTGCACGAACTGGTTTCTTTTCACGAACCCAGATTTTGCTCAGAACGATTTTGCAGCGGAATTACTTTCGCACGAATTTTGCACGTAACGAATTTTCTTAAGAACACTCAGGACCTTGGCTCCGATACCATGTTGGGATTTTCTCTTTGAAAAGTTATTTTTCTTAAACC